TCATTGAATTCTAGGAAATCTTAAATTTCTTTCTTTATTTCTTCATTGACCCAGAAATGGTACAATTGCACATTGTTCAGTTTCCATGAGTTTGTAGGGTTTCTGCAGTTTGTGTTGTTACTGAATTCCAACTTTAAAGCATGGTGGTCTGATAAGATACAGGGGGCTATTCCAATTATTTTCTGTCTGTTGAGGTTTGCTATGTTGCCGATCGAGTATGTGGTCGATTTTAGAGAAGGTTCCATGTGGCCCCGAGAAGAAGCTATATTATTTTGTGTTTGGATGGAATGTTCTGTAAATGTCTGTTAAACCCAATTGGGTCATAACTTCTGTTAGTTCCTTTGTTTCTTTGTTAAGTTTCTGTCTGGTAGACCTGTCTAGTGTTGAGAGTGGGTTGCTCAAATCTTCCACTATGAGTGTATAAGGTTTTATGTGTGATTTGAGTTTTTTTTTACGAATGTGTATGCCTTTATATTTGGGGCATACATGTTCAGAATTGAGATTTCATCGTGATGGATTTCTCCTACGATGAATAGGAAATGACCTTCTTCATCTCTTTTGATTGATTTTAAAGTCTAACTTGTTAGATATTAGGATAGCTACACCTGCTTGTTTCTTTGGTCAATTTAATTGAAAAACCTTTTCCAAACTCTTAACTCTGAGGTAACGTCTGTCTTTGAAGTTGAGGTGTATTTCTTGTATGCAGCAGAAGGATGGGGGGGGGGTCTGTCTTCCTATCTATTCTGTTAGCCTATGTCTTTTTATAGGCGAGTTAAGACCATTAATATTGAGGGATATTAATAACTATTGATTGTTAATTCTTGTTTGTTTTGGATTTGTTGGTGGTGGGTATTGTGTGTGGATCCCCCCTCCCCTTTTTTTTTTTTGGCTGTTGGTAAAGTTAGATTACCTATTGCCTATGTCTTTGTGTATGTATCTGACTTCATTGGGTTGGAGTTTTCCTTCCAGAACTTTCTGCACGGTTAGATTAGTGGATGTGTATTGTTTAAATCTGGTTTTTGTCATGGAATATCTTGGTTTCTCCATCTATAGTGATTGACAGCTTTGGTGGGTATAGTTGTCTGGGCTGACATCTGTGGTCTCTTAGTGTTGATAGAATATCTATCCGTTTCTTTCTGGCCTTCAGAGTTTCCATGGAGTAGTGAGGTGTAATTCTGATAGTTTTGCCTTTATATGTCACTTGGCCTTTTTGCTTTGCTGCTTTTAATATTCTTTCTTTATTCTGTATGTTTGGTGTTTTGATTATTATGTGGTGAGTGGACTTTTTTTTTTTTTTTTTTTTTTTTTTTTTTTTTGGTCCACTCTATTTAGTGTTCTGTAAGCTTCTTGTACTTTCATTGGCATGTCTTTCTTCAGGTTAGGAAAGTTTTTTTTTTTTTTTTCCTATGATTTCGTTGAATATATTTTCTGCACCTTTTAGTTGGGTTTCTTCACCTTCTATATCTATTATTCTTAGGTTTTGCCTTTTCATGGTGTCCCATATTTCCTGGATATTTTGTGTCAGGTATTTGTTGGACTTAAGACTTTCTTTGGTCAATGAATCTATTTCTCCCAGTGTATCTTCAATGCCTGAGATTCTCTCTTCCATCTCTTGTATTTGGTTGGTTATGCTTGCATCTGTTAGTTCCTGATAATTTCTCAGATTTTCTATTTCCAGCATTCCCTTGGACTGTGGGTTGTTTTTTTTTTCCCGTTTTGGGTCTCTATTCAGCTTTTAAGCCTTCCTTGCAATGTTTAAATTGTTCCTTGCAATTTTTCATTTGTCTTTTCTCTGTTTCTTGAATTTTTTTATTCGTTTTTTTTTCTCTTCCATTTCCTTAATGGATTTTCTCATTACCTCTTTGAGGATCTCTATCATCATCATAAAGGTGTTTTTAGGGTTGTTGTCTTCTGCTTCATCTGTGTTTGGATGTTCAGTTCTTGCTGGTATAGAGTCCCTAGACTCTGGTAGAGTCATGTTGATCTTTCTGTTGTTGACTGTTTTCTTATACTGTTGTCTATCCATTCCTTCTTCCAGTGTGTATCAGTAGGGTCTCCCCTTCTCCTGGTGGGTACAGGACCAAGGTTCTCTTCCCGTGTGTGCAAGCAGGTCCAATACTCGGATGGTTTTCCTCTTCCAGTGGGTGGTGGTGGGACTCCTGCAGGTAGAGGTGGGACTAGATCGCTGGCAGACTCTGGATGGGCCGGTCCTCCACAGCATGCTCCCTGGCATGCAGTCCCCAGTCCTCAGGGGGCTCCAAATCAGGGCCCTGGAAGGCAGGCTGGAAACCTAATTTCAGTTTTTTAATGGAACTTAGAGCTATGAAGTGCCTTTATTGTTTATGTAAGTTTGTGTATGATGTGCTTTCATTTTCATTTAATTCTAGTAAGTCTTTAATTTCATTCTCAAATTCTGTCTTGACTCATTTTTCATTTGGTAGAGAGTTGTTCAGTTCCCATGAGTTTGTAAGCTTTCTGTTGTTGAAATTGAGCTTTAATCCTTGATGGTTTGATTGGATGCAGGTGTTATTTTTGAGTTTCTGTGTCTGTTGGACTTGCTTTGTGTCTGTATATATTCTGTATTTTGGAGAAAGTTCCATACGTTTCTGGGAAGAAGGTATATTCTTTTGTGTTTCAGCAAAACTTTTTGTAAATCTTTGTTAGGTACATTTAGTTTACAACATCAGTTAGCTCCAGTTCTTCTCATTTTAGTTTTTGTGTGGATGACCTGTCTGTTGGTGAGAGTGGGCACTGAAGTGTCTCCTATCACTGTGTGAGGGTAGATGTGCGACTTAAATTGTCGTAATACTTCTTTTATGAACTTGAATGTTAAGAATCGCAGTGACTTCTTGACGGATTTTCTGTGGTAAGTATGTAGTACTCTTCTCTGTCTCTCCTGATTAGTTTTGGGTTGAAATCTAAGTGGTGAGTATGTAGTACCATTCTCTATCTCTTCTCATTAGTTTTGGTTTGAAGTTTATTTTGTCAGATATTAAAATAACTACACTGGCTGGCTTCTTAGGTCCATTTGTTTGGAACCTTTTCCCATCCTTTTACCCTGAGGTAATATCTGTCCTTGATGTTGAGGTGAGGTGTGTTTCTTAGATGCAGCCAAAGGATGGGTCCTGTTTTCACATCCTTTTTGTTAGTGTGTGTCTTTTTATTGGAGAATTGAGACCATTTATATTGAGAATTATTAGTGAGCAGTGTTTTTTGATTCCCATTGTTTTGTTGTTATGATGGTGTTTCCCCTTATTTGATTTGCTGTTTTGGTATTACTTATTCCTCACGTTCTCTTGGTTGTTGTGTCCTCTTTAGGTTGGCATTGACTTTTTGGTGCTTATAGGGCTGGATTTATGATAATACTGCTAAAATTTAGTTTACTCATGGAATGTCTTTCTTTTTCCATCCCTTGTGATTGATCGTTTTCCTGGACATAATATTCTGTGGTCTTTTAGAATCTGTAGAACATCTGTGTAGGACCTTCAGGGTTAAAGAATCTCCATTGAAAAGTCAGGTCTAATTCTAATACAGCAGTGTTACTTAACCTGTGGGATGCAACCTTTGGGGGTGTGTGTCACATATCAGATATCTTGCATGTTAATATTTACATTATGATTCATAACAGTAGCAAATTTACAGTTAAGAAGTAGCAATGAGCTGGGGGTTGGTGGTGCATGCCTTTAATCCCAACACTGGAGAGGCACAGGCAGTTGGATCTCTGTGAGTTTGAGACCAGCCTGGTATACAGAGCTAGTTCCAGGGCAGGCTCCAAAGTAATACAGAGAAACCCTGTATCGGAAAAAAAGGCAAAACAAAACTTTATTTGTGTGTATTGTGAGCATGTGGTGATCAGATGACAATTTGCAGCCCTCAGTCCTCTTTTCTCACCTTGTGGGTTCCCAGGACTGAATTCCAGTTTGCGGGCCTGACTGCAAGTACCTTTACCCTTTGAGTCATCTCTCCAGCTAATGCCTGGCATTTTTATGTGGGTTCTGAGGGTCTAACTCAGGTTCTATTGACAGAGCCATCTCCCAATCACTGGGCAATGATATTTTTTTGGTGGGGGGTAGGATACTTGGCTATTCTAAGTATGTGGAAGGCATTTGACAACATCTGGAGATATTTTTAGTTGTGGCAACATGGAGATGGGATGCTCTTGGTATTGAGTATAGCTTGAGAACCCTGCTCTGCATCGTATACTGCCCATGGTCACCTTATTGCCTCTGTGAAGAAATACTTGGTTTCAATTATTCAAAGCGCTGTGTCAATGCCTTTTCTGTTACTATGATAAAACACTGATCAAAAGCAACTTAGGGGAGGACATGTTTGTTTTGACTTATATTGTCTGCTCACAGTCTATCCCTGAGGGAAGACAGGCAGAAACCTCAAACAGAAACTATAGAGCAGTGGTTCTCAGCCTTCCAAATGCTTCGACCTTTAATACAGTTCCTTGTGTTGTGGTGACCCCCATCCATAACATTATTTCATTGCTACTTTATTACTGTAATTTTGCTACGGTTATGAATCATAATATAAATATCTGATATGCAGGAAATCTGATGTGTGATCCCCAAAGGGGTTGCGACCCACAGATTAAGAACAGTTGCCAAAGAGCAATACTGCTTGTTGGCTCAGTTTCTGGCTCATATACAGTGACTTTTCTTAATACAGCTCAGGTCCACCTGCCTAGGGAATGGTGCCACCCACAGTGGGCTGGGCCCTCCCACATCAATCAATAATCATGCTGACTCCCCACAGTATGGTCATGGGCCAGTCTAACCTAGGTAGTTCTCGACTGAGACTCCCCCAAGATGACTGTAGGCTGTGTCATGCTGACAGCTGAAGCTGACTAGGACACATGCTGAGCTAAGCAAATCTACCTTAGAGTGATTAAGTTTGCCACTGGTTCCCCATGAAACATGCTGTATTCCCAACTGTGGGTGAAGGAGTCCTGTTCACCTGATTGATCTTATTCTCTCTTTCTGGTCCACTCTCAGCTTGATGTGTACCCCATGTCTGGGACCCTGTCCTAAGGTCTGCCAGATCCTGGATGGCGAGAAGACTATTGACTCTGTGACATCTGCCCAGGAGCTCCGAGGCTGCACTGTGATCAATGGCAGCCTCATCATCAACATTCGAGGGGGCAGTGAGTACTCCCAGTAGGGCCCCCCACTTGCTGTGCTCCATGAGCAGGGAAGAGCACACCTCAGGGTATCCATACATTCCCCTCCCAACTTTCATGGCCATATTCACTTGAGTCCTGTGATCTCAACTTCTCAGGAGGCTGAGGCAGGAGGATTGCTTGAATCTAAGGAGTTCAGACCAGCCTGGGTCGAAAGAAAGAAAGCATAACAAGCAAACACAGTGATACCTCCTTCATCGGCCCTCTAAGTAGGAGACTCATACCAGGAGGTGGCTCAAAATCCAAAATGAGAAGTTCCTGACTTCACATCTGCTGAGAATTCTATTTTCCAATCTGCATCAATAATCTGCATTTTTATTTTTCATTTTTTGTGTATGAGTGTTTTGTACACATTTATGTATATATATGCCATATGTGTGTGGTGTCCACAAAAGCCCCAAGTGGGCACTGCAGTTACATGTGGTTGAGAGCTGCCATGTGGGTGCTGGGAACTGAGCCCAGGTCCTCTGCAGGAGCAGAATTCTCTTGACTACTGCTGGGCTATCTCTACAGCCCCAGAATCTGTATTCTGACTGATGTGCACCGAGTCTGCTATCCCATGCTCATTATGCCAGCACTCAGGAGACAGAAGTAGAGGAGTTCTAGTTTGTGAGTTTGAAGTCAGCCTAGGCTGCGTGAGACCCCAGGTCAAAGAAATGAAGACACAGCTTCCAAGCTAGAATGGGTAGGTTGGTAGGCGGACTGCTTTCCTACCATTCAAGTTCCAGTCCTCAGTGCTATGCCTGTAGGGCACACTGGTGAGATTGAAGCTCTAGGAAAGTGGAGGCTACAGAAATTCAAGGGTATCTTTAGTTAGATAATAATTTTGGCTACATGAGAGTTTGTTTGTATTATAGATTTGCTTCAAACTCACTATGTGGCCATCGGTGATTTTCCACACCTAATCCTCCTGTTGTCACATCCTGAGAGCTGGCATAACAGGAGGGTAGGAACACACACACAGATACACATACACACACACAGCAGGAGGGCAGGAACACACAGACAGACAAACACACATAGATACAAACAACAGGAGGACAGGAACACACAGACACAAACACACACACACACACACACACACACACACACACACACACACACACGCTGGATAAAATATTCTGCAGACATTCATGGGTGTTTTCTGTTTTTTGTAGACAATCTGGCGGCTGAGCTGGAGGCTAACCTTGGCCTCATTGAAGAAATTTCAGGGTTCCTAAAAATCCGGCGTTCCTATGCTCTAGTATCGCTTTCTTTCTTCCGGAAGCTCCATCTGATTCGAGGAGAGACCTTGGAAATCGGGTATGTGAACCTGGCTGTGTTTGTAGCTGCCAACCACAAGACTCATGAATGAAGCAACATAGGGATGGGGAGGTGGTTCACCCAGTAAACTGCTTACTTTGCAATGTGAAGACCTGAGTTTGATCACAAGTTTAAGAAAAATGGTCAAGCTACTAGAGTTGGGGAGAAAAGACAGGTGGGTCCCTGGGGCTCTCTGGCCAGCCAGTCCTCACCTACTTATCAGGTTGGAGGTCAGTGAGAGACCCTTACTCAGAAACAGGGTGGATGAGGTGTAAGGGATGGGCAACCAGTTTTTCTCTGTCCTTCACACTCATCAGCACATACATGCACATGCACCCATGCATGTATGAGTGTGTACACATGCGTGCATGCGCGTGCGCACACACACACACACACACACACACACACACCTCCCTTAGGACTTTTCTTTTAAAAAACCCTTCTGAACCAAAATGAGGCATCTGTTAGATGACAGGGCACTCTTGCATATCCATCCAGCCAAGAGACAGAAAGTCTACTCTACAGTCTTCTTGGGGGAAGCCAGAGGGTGCAGGCTGGGATTTGCTAATGGCCTGTGCATCTGTCATAGCTACACAGAGAATGGAGTGTGATAAATACCTGGTCATGGCCATGTTTGGAAACTGCTTGGCTCTGTCAATACAAAAATCCCTCCTCTCACCTCAATAGAATAAGAGATAGTTTTTTCTGGAGCCAATTATGAGTAGCATGGCCCAGGAATACTGATAAAGGTTATCCCAAATTACATATTCCAATGTGGTAACAGTCTCATGAAATTTTTATACTAATAGAACAGAAAGTCACAAACTAAGTCACTTTTAAAAGATGTTGGTAGAAACATCAAAGAGGCGATTAATAGCAAACCAGAGGAACCTCTGCTATAGGCCGCAGCTGTCATCTGATGACATTCTTAGCCTTTTAGTTGATGGAAACTAATGGTCTGCTACACTAGTACATTCCAAAAGACTTACATGCTAGCCACAAGGATATTTGGGCTATTAAGACACAGAGTGGCTTTTAAGGGGGTTAAAGACAGACCAGGATAAATTGTAATTAGGCTTTGGATCTGCAACTCTCCAACTTTCCACAGTTATTGAAGCATTGTAGAAGGTTCAATATAAGGTGCTGTGTCCATGGTGTCCCTGCCCCTCCTCCCCCAAGAACTTTTGTTCACCATCCTGTTCAGGTAGACCACACCTACTCTTTGTTGAGATGCTTATCTTTCCTGGCTCCTGGAATTCCACCTACTCAAGGTATTCTCCCAGCCACCCCCAGGTGTCCTTTCTCATTTCCCTTGGTCTCCATTTCTTTCCTGAGTTGGCAGTGTGCGCTCCCAGCCATGGCCTGTGTCTTCGGATCTTGCCCTACATAAGCTTAAATAAATATTCAGTCCTGATTCTCTTCTCATCCATCACCCCAAGCCAGCCTCTGAAGCATGCCTCTCTGGGAACCTTAGATACAGCAAGTGGCCTTCTGTAGAACCCCAGTTATCAGTCCTCATTTTGAGGATCCACCTTTGCTCTTCTGTCCTCCAGGTCCCATAGACCCTGCTTTACACTGCTCAAACAAACAGGAGTCTGATGTGTGGCATTTTGAAAAGTAGATAGCATTGAAACATGCAATGGAAAAGTTAGATTCTGTTTCTCACTGGCACAAGAGGGGTGGGTCTCTTGTCCCCAGTCTCATAGCTGTCAAACCATCAGCAAATAAGGGAAGGGGCAAAAAGACATGCCAGTCTACACTGTATCTTAAAGCAGAGCCACACAACTGGGCACTTGGGAGCAGGCAAGTCTCAAGGCCAGCCTGGCCTGGCCTGGTCTAAGGCCAGCCAGGGATGCAGAGTGAGACTGTTTAAAACAACAAACAAACAAACGAACAAAGCAGGAGCACAACACAAAACCAAACCAAACATGATGGAAACCCTCCATACTTTTTTGTCCCCAAACTTGATTTCTGGTTTTATTTTTATTGTTAGACCTGGGTCACAATTTCACCCCCTCCAAAACGCAGTCTGACCCTCACTCCCGCTTCCTCTCTACCTCTTCCTCCTCCTTCATTTTTGCCTCCCCCTCCTTCCCCAGCTCCTTTTCTTCTCCCTGTTATTTAGCCATATTGGTAATTGCATATAGTGCTGGTGTATGCTAAGCAAACAGCCTACCACTGAGCCACACCCCCACCCCTCACTGGGGGATTCTAGGAGAGTGTGCTTCACTTACTTGACCATGAAAATTTATCAACTTCCTTGTTTTCCCTAGTCCCAAAGATAATTTTTGAGTCTGTGCCAATAAAATGGCTAGGACTGGGCTTGTAGCACTGAAGGAGGTCAACTCCAGGCATGGCCCTGGCTATCCAGTTTTAAAATTTTTATTTATGATATATAAAATTAATTTTTGAGAATTTCTTATATACACATAATATATTTTGATCATAATCAGCCCCTGTACCTCCCTCTTATTCCTGATAGATCCACCCCACCCTTGCTCCCTCTCAAGTTCATTTATTCTTTTTTAAAGCAAAATTATAACCCACTGAGTGTATGTTGTGGTCCCTGTCATCTCAGCATTGAAGAAGATGAGGTGTGGAGTAACTAACAGTATGTGTCTGTAGGAACTATTCTTTCTACGCCTTGGACAACCAGAACCTCAGGCAGCTCTGGGACTGGAGCAAACACAACCTCACCATCACTCAAGGCAAGCTCTTCTTCCACTACAACCCCAAACTCTGCTTGTCAGAAATTCACAAGATGGAAGAAGTTTCCGGAACTAAGGGCCGCCAGGAGAGAAACGACATTGCCCTGAAGACCAATGGGGATCAGGCATCCTGTAAGTCTCTATCCTTATGTCCCCTGCTCTCTTTCAGCTACTGCCCTACCCCCCAGGGAAGTGCCATTGTCCTTTGTTGAACTATAGCTTTCTGTGAGAAGAGTTTTAAAATACCAAAGGCAGGTGTGTATGTGTACATATGTGTACACGTGTGTGTGTGTGTGTGTGTGTGTGTGTATGCCTGTGTGTGCACATGTGTATGTGTGCACATGTGTATGTTTGTACAGGTATGTGTGTGTGTGTGTTTGGGGATAGATGTGCATGTGTCTGTGAAGGACAGAGGTGTCATTTCCTTCTTTTCTTTTTTGTTAGTCAGGGTTTCTCACTGCCTGGAGCTCACCAATAGGCTTTGTGGGCTGGTCAGAGAATCACAGGGATCTGTCTTTCCTACTTTTTCCACTGCTGGGGTTAGGATTGTGCACCACTATCTTACTCAGTGTCCTATTGTTGTGAAGAGACACATGAACAAGGAACCCTTACAAAGGAAAGCATTTAATTGGGGCTGGCTTACAGTGTCAGAAGCTTAGTCCATTATCATCATGGTGGGGATCATGGCAGCAGATGAGAAGGCAGACATAGGCAGGCATGGGGCTGAGCGCTTACATCCTGATCCATAGGCAGCAGTAGAGAAGAGAGAAACTGGTCAAGGCAAGAACTCAAGGCAGAAACCTGGAGTTGGGAACTGAAGCGGTGGCCATGGAAGCTGTTTATTGTCAGCTAACTTTCTTATATAGCCTAGAGCTACCTACCTAGGGATGGCTCTGCCCACACTGGGCTGGGCCCTTCCTACTTCAATCATCAATCAAAACAACAACAACAAAATGCTTCACATACATGACCAGAGGGCAATCTGATGGGAGAAGTTCTTCAGTTGAGGTTCCCTCTTCTCAGGTGTGTCTAGCTGACAGCTAAGATTAGCCATCATGCCTGCACATATATGAGCATGCATACACACACATAAAAAAGAGCTCAGAATGGCTGACTAGTTGTCCTTTTTTTTGCATTGGCAAAAATCCACTATTGGCATGGATCATCCACTATTCAGTAGAGCATCTTATTTCTTTGTTGGTCTGCTGACTTCCCACTTTTCAAACTCAGCAAGACCAACGTGGGTGAGACCCATGTAAGAAATAGCAGATTATATGCACTCTGTGTTTTAATTTTCAAGTGACACAATCTAGAATCACCTGGAAAGATAATCTGAATTGAGGGATTGTCCAGATGAGGTTGGCCTGTAGGCATGTCTATGGAGCATTTTCTTGGTTGGTGATCATTTTGGTGGTTTCTCTCTGGCCTGGAGCTCACCAAGTAGGCTTTGCTGGCTTGGGGTTTGACTGTTAATTGGCGAAGAGCCATTTCATGGACTGGATCTGGAACAACATGAGAGTGGAGAAAGCTAGCAGCAAGCAGGCGTTACCTATGCATCCCTCTCTCTCTGGTATTGACTATGGGTGAAGAGATATAACTAATGCCTTGAGTTGCTGCCCAATTTCCCTGAAATGATAGACTCTGACCGAACAAGCAACCAAACAACTCTTCCTCTCTTAAGTTGCTTTTTGTCAATTATTTTATCACAGCAACAAAATAAAACTAGGATTCCTTCTGTCCCTCTGTCTAAACCCTCCCCAAGAGGCTGGAGACCAAAAACTTTGCTCTCAACTGTTCAGTACTCCCAATTGCCTGACTTGTTTTCTCTTTCTAGGTGAAAATGAGTTACTTAAATTTTCTTTCATTCGGACATCTTTTGACAAGATCTTGCTGAGGTGGGAGCCCTACTGGCCCCCTGACTTCCGAGACCTCCTGGGATTTATGCTCTTCTACAAAGAGGCGTAAGTAAAAGGAGGTGGACTATCGGGTGTGCTCCTTGTTTCAGGGACAGACAGAGCCCATAAGGAAGGGTTTATCTTGGCTCACAGCTTGTGTGGTAGGGTTGTCATGGCAGCAGGAGCATGAAGCGGCTGGATACATTGCATCCTCAGTCAGGAAGTGGAGTGCTCAACTCACACTCTTCTCTAAAACAAGACAATATTTTAGTGTGTTATTTTGAATTTTCATATATTTATGTAGTATATTTTGATCATATCCATCCACCATTTTTTCCCTCCAATATCTCCTAGTGTGCCCATCCCATTTCCCTCTCAGCTTCATGTCCTCTCTGTGTTGTTGTTGGCAACCCCCTGAATCCAGTTAGGGTTGCCCATATGTGCATGCTTGTGGAGCCATCCACCTGAGCACCAGCCACCTGCCAGTGTCCAGGTTTCCAAAAAGGGGAGTGACTTAGACTCCCTTAGCAGCTACATGCTACTCCTCTGCCAGGAGAGGACCTCGGAGCCCTCCACCATCCATGCTGGAATGGGGACTGGCTTGATCTAGTGCAGGCAACCATAACTGGTCAGTGTTCATGAGTGCAGTGTTTAGAAGTCCCCATCATCCTTTCATACTAGAGATGCACCTGTCCCTGTCTCCTAGTGCCAGGCTTCCAGAGGCTGAGCACCACACCTGGTCTTTGCATAAGTGCTAGGGATTGAACTCTGGTCCTCATATTTATAGAGCAAAAACTTTGCCTACTGAGCTCTCTCCCCAGGCCAAGTGATCATATGTTGATAACTCATATTGAGAATATAGTACATAGACAATGTTGGGGTGAGGAGAAGAGAGGGAAAAAAAAAAAAAAGAAGAAAGAAAGAAAAGAAAATGCACTGCTTACACTTAAGCCACCCTGGCTTTGCTGCAGCTTTAGTCATTTACCTTGTGGCTGTGTGGGCTGAGATCCGGTGAAGGTGACTACCATTAGCAGCGTGGATTTAGCACAACTCAATGCTGCTAACTTTGGAGAAGACCCGAATTTAGAATTGGAAATATGAGAAGGTTCACTTCTGGGAGTTGGAGAGGAGGCTCAGCAGGTACAGGTGGTCACTGCTTTTCCATAGAATCCAAGTTTGGTCTCCAGCATCCCAATCTGGCATTTCACAACCACTAGCTGCAGGGGATCTAGTGTTCTCTTCTGGCCTCTCAAGGGACATGCATATAAATACACATACTCAGATACATATTCACACTTTCAGAAAGCCATGACTTGTGGACACCAGCTCTGAGGAAGTAGAGATGGGCAGAGCTTTGAAGTCTCTGGATAGTTAGCCTAGCCTACAAGGTAAATTTCAGGCCAGATAAGATCACTGTCTCAAAACACAAGGTGGGAATCCAGGGTGAATGCCATTAACCCCAACACTGAGGAGACAAGAGGCTGGCAGACATCTGTGAGTTTGAGGCCAGCTTGGATTAGAGTCTGTCTCACAAATAGAAAAAAACAAGGTAGATCCTCCAGGTTCATGCACATACACTCAGTTGAACTGCCACAAACTCATACATATATATACCACACACACACACACACACACACACACACACACACACACCAGAAAAGAAGTAACTCTCTAAGGTGCCTATCCACTGAGTTCTGAGATGACATTACCCAGTGGTAACCTACCTTTCCCTCTCATTTCTCAAAAGCCCTTATCAGAATGTGACGGAATTTGATGGGCAAGATGCTTGTGGTTCCAACAGCTGGACTGTGGTGGATATTGACCCACCCCAAAGGTCCAATGACCCCAAGTCTCAGACCCCAAGCCACCCTGGGTGGCTAATGCGAGGTCTCAAGCCCTGGACTCAATATGCCATCTTTGTCAAGACCTTGGTTACCTTCTCTGATGAACGCCGGACCTATGGAGCCAAAAGTGACATCATCTATGTGCAGACAGATGCCACAAGTAAGTGAATATGGGTTTGATGTTGAACTGACTCTCTTGCTTTTGGTAGGCAACTTAGTAATGTCATGTGACAGGTTTTCTCCTTTGGTTGACTTCTGGAAGAGCTAAGGGCTGAGGCTTATATTTTCAGAGGATAACATGGTAGCCATGAACTACCTCATAGTTCAAGAGTTCACTCTTGGGCTGGGAAGATGGCTTAGTGGGCAAGATTGTGTGCTGTTCCCATCACCTGAGGCTTGAGCCTCAGGGGGAGGCCATGTGCACTGTGTCTCAGTGGGTGGCCATGTGCATGTCTATAACCCTAGAGCACTGTGTCTCAGGGGGAGGCCATGCACTTGTCTATAACCCTAGACCAGTATGTTTCAGGGGGGAGGCCATGTGCATGTCTATAATCCTAGAGCACTGTGTCTCAGGGGGTGGCCGTACATGTCTCTAACCACAGAGCACTGTGGCTCAAGGGCAGGGCATCTTCCTCTATATCTGTCTCCTGGTTTTTATTATTTAGATCAATTAGAAATCAATTTACATTTTGGCATCCAACGTGGGGAATGGACCGATGACCCTGAGATTAAGAGTCTTATGCTCTAGACAATCCAGGGCTATCCAGTGAAACCTGTCTTTTTCAATCATTAAATAATCAATTAATTAAAAGTGAGAGTGAGGCCTGGCTATACACACTTGTAATGTTATCACTTGGGATACTGAGACAAGAGAATTGCTGTGTGAGCTACATATCAAGGCCTTACAACCTTGTGATGGTGAAATGTTTGGGGGATAGAGGCAGGTAGGTCTGGAGTTTAGAGTCATCTCTGTCTACATATTAAGTTTCAAGCCAACCTAGACTATTTGAGATTCAGTCTCAAAAACATAAACAATAAACAAATGACAAACTCACCAAAAATAACAATAGAAAGAAATTTCTGTTACTGTATATTATTTTAGTTGTTCTGTTTTATTGTTGCTGTTGCTATCTTCTTTTAGTTATGATTAAGCTTTATTGTAGGTATGTATGTATGGGGAGACATTAATGGCTAAGTGCTTTATGTGGCTTCAGATATCTGCTGCCACATAGATAAGGGGGGCAGACTGCATATTTTCCTGTCCTGTCATGAAAACTCCTCAAATATAGAGAGGGTGCCTTCCTGTGTGCCTCTTCTAGCTTTCACGTGGTGTAATCTGGTTTTATTGTTACTGTTGTCTTCCTCCTCCTTTGTTTTTCTTCCTTCTTTATGGCTATAATGTCTTATAGCAACTTATTTTTTCTGTCAAGACTACTGGTTTTCAGAGGGATAATTCTGTCCCTCCCCGGAAGGGAAGATGCCTGGCAGTGTCTAGAGACATTTTTACTGGCCACAGCTGGGAAGTGGAATGAGTGGTTGACAGAGTTGTCTGCCCCAAATGCCAACATGCAGAGAGTAAGCCACCCCTCACAAGAACAGAGTCCATTGTTCAGGCTTCTTCACCGTCTCTGCTCTTATCTTGTATTTAGACCAAGTTTAGTTTCCAGAAACTTCTACCTTCCTGGCCTTTGTGCACTTTTTTGTTTTTGCCTTGATACCTCCATGTTCTCTTCCTCCAACTGTCTCAGCTTTCAGCATTCTGTGTGTGCACGTGTGTGTGTTCTTGTACTTGCATGTGTGTATCGTATTTAAATGTGGCATATGCCAGAGGTTGACACTGGAGTCTTCCTCAGCTGTTTCTCCCTTATATATTGTGGCTGCTGCAGCCATTGCTGCCTGGCATTTATGTGGGTGCTGGGCATCTGAACTGTCCTTATGCTTCTGTGACAGGTGCTTTACTCATTGAGCCATCTCCCTAGCCTCAGGGACCACTATTCTTCAGAGGGAGAGTTTAGGGTGTATTTTGAAAGATGTTGCATGACCATTGAATAACACCATGTGGGGCTTGGTTGGAAGAGTGCTTGCCTAGCTTGTATGAAGCCCTAGGTTAAATCCCCAGAACTTCATAAACCAGGGATGGTGTTGCATGTCTCTCATCCCAGCATGCAGGAGGAAGCTAGAAGGATCAGGAATTCTAACACATTCTTGGCTACATTGTCAAGTTTGAGGCTAGCAAGCACGGGGCCAAGCTTCTGGAGAGGGAGGAGGGATTATATGAGCAATGGGGAGGGGTGGGGGGGCGTCAAGATCAGGACTGGAAAGCCAGAGATAGCTGACCCAAGCTCGTAGGAGCTCATAGACTCTAGACAGAGAGCTGGGGAGCTTGCATGGGATTGAACTAGGCCCTCTGTTTGTGGGGCCCCAGGCAGTGAGACCAGGATCTATTCCTGGTGCATGAGCTGGATCTATGGAGCCCATTTCCTATGGTGGGATGCCTTGTTCAGCCTTTTTTCAGGGTCCGGGAGGGGTTTGGTTTTGCTTCAACTTGATGTGCCAGGTTTTGTTGATTCCCCATGGGAAGTCTTACCGTTTCTGAGGAGTGGATAGGAGGTTGGGGGAGGGGGAACTGTGGTTGGTATGTAAAATGAATAAAAAAAGTTTGAGGCTAGCCTAGGCTAGATGAGAGCCCGTCTCAGAAACAGACAGACACAGTTCAATAGTTTCAAGTGCTTCTAGTAACTGGGTTTGATTTCATGCCCATGTTAATGAATATTCATCTCTTGCCTCGATTCTCTATTGGCCCCAGGAATGTCTTTTAGTGCCCTCAGCAGCAAGAGCTTTGGCATCTGTCAGAGCCAAAGTCTGTGGAGTAAATGACACATGGTGGGCACATACCCCACTGCACGAAGGGACAGTCATTCCTGCCTGGGCCCGGCAAGCATTTAACTGTGCTTACTTTTCTCAGATGTTAAGTAACTCTAGGAAACATAGCTGTGGTTTCAGTTGGGCCATCCCCCTGCTTAGGTAAACCCTCATAGTAACTTGTTTCTTTTCTCCTTTACAGATCCTTCTGTCCCCCTGGACCCCATATCCGTTTCTAATTCTTCATCTCAGATTATCTTAAAGTGGAAGCCCCCCTCCGACCCCAATGGCAACATCACACACTACCTGGTCTACTGGGAGAGGCAGGCAGAGGACAGTGAGCTGTTTGAGTTGGATTATTGTCTCAAAGGTGAGCACAGGCAATTGTCATGGGGTTGGCTGTACCTTGATGCTCTTATGGGGACACAGGTCTCTTTTCCTGTTCCCATGGTGCTGGCACATGCACATTCACATGCATACATGCTTACACATACATACATGTGCATACACACTCACATTCCATTCTGTCTCACATAAGGCATACTGTGTGTGTGTGTGTGAGAACATGTGTGTGCAGGCTTGTGTGTGTATGTATGTGTAGTGCATGTAGAGAACAACTTTGGGTGTATGTCTAGGAATGTTGTATGCCTTGTTTTTTATTTATTTATTTATTTTTTTGCTTGGGTTGTGAGACAGGGTCTCACAAAGGCCACGGTGAACTTAAATTAACTATTGAGCTGAGGATGACACTGGGCTTCTTGTTGCCCCTGCCTCTACCTCCTAAGTGTTGAGGCTATAGGACTATACTACCGTGTCAGTTTATGCAGGGCCAGAGATTCAAACCCAGGGCTTCATGGATGCTACAACTGCAACGACAGCGCCACGTCCCCATCCCATGTTTTCTGTGAATTAAAAATCCTTTTATTCCACTTATTTATTTACCTGGTTTCTCTGTGTGTGAGGGCACACATGTGACATGGCATGCGTGTGGAGATCAGAGGACAGCTTACAGGAGTCTGTTGTCTTGTCAGCCATGGGGGTGCCAGGGACTAGGCTCAAGTGGTCAGGCTTGGGGGCAAGCCCCTTTACCTGCAGAGTCATCTTTCTACCCCCACTATTTTTCCCCCACTATTTTTAAGATTTCAATAGTGTACATTGAGCCCAGGGCCTCATGCAAGTTAAACAAGAATTCTACCACTGAGCAATAGCCCAGCTCTCAACCTGTGGCTATTCAATTTTATTTGGGACAGGGAATTTCACTAGCCTGGGTAAACAGGCTGATCTGGCTAATGAGTGACCCTCAATAGTTTGCCTTTCTCCACCTTCCTAGCACTGGGATTACAAATGTATCCCACCACAACCAGTTTTTTACATGGGTTCTGGGGATCAAATAAAGGCTCCTGTCTGAGCCATCTCCTCGGTGCACACACACATCTGTGATCCACACTCACCATCTCCTCAGCACACACACATCTTTAGACATTATCCATGGACCCACACTCACCATCTCCCCAGTGTGAACACACATTTTAACAAATTGCACATGAATTCACACTTTGGTGGCTGCTGAAAATCCAAAACAGTGATGTGTGATGAGCACTTACCCAGAGTGTCCAAAGCTCTGGGTTCACAAAACAAACAGGACTAGATGTAACGGTGAAGCACATTCAGTGCTTCATTTGTCCATGAGCCACACAGTGCTCTGAGCTGTAAATGTCTTTGCCATTTCCTTGTGATAGAAACTTTCAATATCTTTTTAGCACTGGATGTAGAGGCTGAGGTATGTGCACAAGCACAGTGAACAGGGTTTATGAAATAGCAGCTGTATCAACTGTCCTGGAGCTGCCTTGCATGGTCACTATATTTCAAAATAACTAAAAGTGGGTCATCAAAAAAGAAACCTAGGGAGGCAGCAAGATGGCTCAGTGGATAGAGGTGCCTGCTGCCAAGCCTGATGCCCTGAGCTGATCCCTAGGACCTACATGGTACAAAGAGAGAACTCGCTGCCCAAAATTATCATCTGACCCCGCCCCCTCCACACACTTTATTAAAACAGAACAAAACAAAACACCACAACCCACCATCAAATCAGAGAAGGTAAAAGTTTTGCAGTTTTTTTTTTTTTTTTTTTTTTTTTTTTTTTTGTCTTTGATTCATTTGCAGCTAACAGTATCCTTAGCCTGTGACCTTGTAGAAGCAGGCCAAGGGGGCTGCCGGAGAGGTGTGGCTGAGGTCTGTACTCAGATCCACCCCTGCCCTGGCATCTGCTTTTGGCTAGGACACACATCAAGTAGTCTGTCTCCTTTTGTGGAGAAGGGGCGGAGGACAGATGATTCCTGGGAACAGTCCCAGTTCTAAGATCATGTGCTATATGCATGCCTGTGACATCATGCCTGCCTGGGCCAGGATCACTGACTTGATTTATCTCCTCACATACTTTATATAACTTGAGAGCAAGTCCAGTCCTGGGCTCAGCTCTGACCTGTTGGCTCTGCATTTGGGTACATGAAACCACCTGCTGTTCATGCTTCCAGCAATGCCAAAACTTTACTTTTTAAAAAACAAACAAACCCACTAATTAAAAACAAAACAAAAAACAAAAAAACAAAAAAACGAAGTTTGATTTTCTTTTTGTTGTTTGTTTTTAATCAAAGTTTCACATGACTCAGGCTGGCCTCAAACTCACAATGTAGCCAGAGGATGACCCTGATCGTCCTGTCTTCACCACTGGAGTGCCATGATGACAGGTGCTCTCCACTATGCCAGGCTAACCACAGCAAACTTTCATTCTGTAAATGGAAACTCGTGATTATGGGGGTTAAGGATATAGTTTGGGTGGTAGAGGGTTTCCTAGTGTGCAGGAAGCCCTGGGCTCTATTCCCAGTACCACACAGATCCAGTGTGGTGGCATAGGCCTGTAACTATAGCATTTGGGAGATAGAGGTAGGAAGGTCGTGTTTAACATCATGACTACCTAAATAGCAAGTTTGAGACCCTGTCTCAGAACAAACATAAAACCACTTTAAATTCATGAATACAGTAGGACAATTTAAAAATGGTTTGATATTTGATCATCACAGAATTAATTTGCACATGCATGTGTATGTATGCATACACATATCTATTCATGTTTGGAGTCTGACTGAGCCATCTCCCCATTTTTAAACATTACACAGATCCACAGTGTGCTGGAAACATTATATGTCTGTGTTTAAGGTGATGTTGGCCATCTTGCTCGGTGGCTTTCTGCCTTGTTTTTTGAGGCAGGGTCTATCACTGAACTCAGTGCTCACCAATTTGGCTAGACTGGCTGGCCAGTGAGTTCTAGGGATTCTCTACTTTCCTAGCACTGGGGAGTAGGGTGTTTTTTTTTTTTTTTTTTTTTTTTTGTGGGTGCTGGGGATTGAACTCAGATCCTCACGCTTGCATGGTAGCTACTTTACCCATGGTCCATTTTACCAGCCCACAAAGCTTTACTCACAGGGAAGCCTAACTATAGTAAAATTTAAAAATGTTTGATGTATAAACACAGCCTGAGTTTGAATCCCCATCACATGTATAGAAAAAAATCTGGGTGTGGCAGCATGCATCACACTGGGGAGGCAGAGACAGGCAGATCCCTGGAGTGAGCTGGCCAGCTAGCCTAGCAAGTCATGAGGTCCTAGTTTAGTGAGAGACTCTGGTCTCATTAATAAGAAGGAGGATGGCAAGATGTTTCAGTAGGTAAAGGTACTTGCTGCCAAGCCTTGCAGACCAACTTTAATGCCTGGAATCCACAAAGTAGAGGAGAAATGGATTCCTGAAAGTAGTTCTCTGGCTTGTTCCCCTCCCCCACAAATTAATATAATAATAACATTGATGGAGAAAGGACTGTAGAGGACCCTTCATATCAACCTTGGGCATTTGTATTCACCCACATGTGTGAGAGTACATAGATATAAGTAACACAAACATACAGATGCAGAATACAGGTAAGCATGCACACACAGCAATTCTGGAACTCTTGGTTATAAAACCGTAATCTGACTCTTTGGGAGGGTGAGGAAGCAAGAATGAGAGTCCAGGTGAATCTAGGGTACAGGGTGTGTTCAGTGCCAGACTGGACACTGTACTGAAGCCATTCCCAAAGAGTGAGACGAGGTCTGGAGACATGACTTGTCTCTATGATAGAGTGCTTGCTTAGAACCCCCACTGGAGGGTTCTTAAGGCTGTGGCCTAAGGAATGACACCCAAGGTGGACCTCTGGCCTCAGTGTGTGTGTGTGTGTGTGTGTGTGTGTGTGTGTGTGTGTGAAACTAAAACTAGAACCTATGCTCTATCATCTGTTCTCCTTTAGTCTCTGAGTATAAGTGTGGAGTGTGCTTTTTGTCAGGTATATGTGTGTTTATATCTATAGTGTGTGTATGTGTGTGTGTCTTGAGGGAGACTTGAGCCCTCTGTTCTGCCTGTCTCTAGGGCTGAAGCTCCCCTCACGGACCTGGTCTCCACCTTTTGAATCGGATGAGTCTCAGAAGCATAATCAGAGCGAGTATGACGACTCGGCCAGTGAATGCTGCTCATGCCCCAAGACTGACTCTCAGATACTGAAGGAGTTGGAGGAATCCTCATTCAGGAAGACCTTCGAGGATTACCTGCATAACGTGGTGTTTGTCCCCAGGTCAGAACTTTCTACAGGCTGTCTGCCTGCCTGCCTGCCTGTCTATCAGCTTGGTATTGGAGAGGGTACCATTACTTAGGAAATGAGGCGGCGTCAGTTCCAGAGACTGTGTGTGGGAAGATGACCAGAGCCTAAGCTCAGTCCTGTGCTTGTGGTTGGATGGGAAACAGTTTTATTTGTTGGGGAGATGGCCCAGTTAGAAAAGTGTTTGCTTTAATAGCACAAGGACTGAGTTTTGTTCCCAGAACCCACATAAAAAGCCAGGTATGTGCTTGTATTCTCGGCACTGGGGAGGCAGAGACGGGGATTCCTACGCCTACTGCCAGTCAGACTGGTCTAATTAGTAACATTTGGGCCAGTGAGAGAATGTCTGAAAGAACAGTGGATAGATAGCATCTGAGGAACTGCAGCCACAGCTGCCCTCTGGCCTCACATGCGCGCCCAGCTGCTTACATGTGCAATTTCAAACACATATTCACACACAAATACACGTATTTGTCACATGTATATGCACACACATAAATATGCCCATGGCTCATGTGTAAATACACCCATGTGTTTCTGGGTCACATGTGTACAAGAGCACATACACAAATACACTTGCGGGTCCCATGTGCATGTACACATGTATATATATGTACAAATATGCCTGTGGGTCCCATGTGTGTGCGCGTGCACACACACACACACACCTACCTCTGTGGGTAAAAGTTTCTTCTTTTTCTTGTGCCTGATTAGAGGTGAAAACAGCAGCAGACTGTTTTCACCTGTCCTGTGTATATATCTTACAGAATGGTATAGCTGTTGATAGCAGGGACTCTGGAAGCTGTATGTTTGGCTGTCTCCTCTTATATGTACTGGGTTGAGTAATTTACTGTGCTACTCTGTGCTGTGGTTTTCTCATCTGCACAATGGGCACAGCATGGTTGACCTTTGGTGTCTCCAGTGGATTGGTTCCTGATCCCATGCTTACCCCACAGATTCTCAAGTCTCTTATGTAAACGTCATAATACCTGCGCAGAAACCATCTCACCTTCCCATATGAACCCATCTTCAGACAGTGCACATACTACATAAATAATTGTCATACCATATTGTGTACCATGGGCACCACAACAAGAAAAAAGCCTTCCTGTGTTCACTATGACAACTTTCCAATCATTCTTTCAGTTTCATACATGTACACATGTATGTTGATCCGATTGACCCTCAGCTTCCCCTTATACTTCCACCAACATGTCTGCCTCCTTCATGTTGTTGTTCTCTTCCTCTTTTCCCTTCTCTTCATTCGTATGACTCAGGGAACCCAGTTAGTGCTGCCTGCTGTAATGCTGAGTGACCTTGGCTTGACCTTGTGTAGGTCTTGTTCAGGCAACCACAGCTGCCTTGAGTTCTTTTTTTTTTTTTAAGTATATTTTTTCTTATTTTACATATCGATCCCAGTTCCCTCTACCTCCCATCCTCCCACGTCCCCCACAGACACCCCATCCCATCTTCCATCCACTCCTCGGGGAGGTGATGCCTTCCATGAGGGATCACCAAAGTTGGTTAAGTCATTTGGAGTAGGGCCTAGGCTCTCCCCTGTATCTCTAGGCTAAGGGAGTATCCCTCCATGGGGAATGTGCTCTCAAAGTCCGTTCCTGCACTATGGATACATCCTGGTTCTACTGCCAGAGGTCCTATAGGCTTCCCAGGCCTCCTAACTGAGACCCACTTTTAGGGGGTCTGGGTCAGTCTTATGCTGTTTTCCCAGCTATCAGACTGGGATCCTGAAGGTCAGCAGTTTCTGTGGGTTTCTCCAGCCTGGTCTTGGCCCCTTTTCTCATCACTCCTCCCTCTTTGCAACTGGATTCCATGAGTTTCCCTCAGTGTTTAGCCCTGGGTGTCTGCTTCTGCTTCCATCAGCTACTGGATGAAGGCTCTAGGACCGTATATAAAGTAGTCATCAATCTCATTATCGGGGAAGGGCATTTAAGGCAGCCTCTCCACTATTGCTTAGATTGTTAGTTGGGGTCATCCTTGTAGGTCTTTGGACATTTCCCTAGTGCAAGATTTCTCTTTAAACTTATAATGGCTCCCTCTATTATGGTATCTCCTTTCTTGTTCTCTATTCTTCCCCAGACTTGAGTTCTTAAGTGCAATGCCATGTCATGTCCCAAAGAGAGCACTTCATGGTGCTCCTCCCCACCCTTTGGCTACATTCTTTCCCCTTCCTCTTCTGCGTATTTCATTCTCCGAGCCATGGCAGTGGGATTGTTACAGATTGCCCATTTACAGCTGGGTACTCGACAGTCGCTTGTTCTCAGCACTTTGATCAGCTTTGAGTCTCTGCTAAGTGTAAAAAGAAGCTTCTCCAATCAGGATTGAGAACAGCACTAATCTGTGTACATAAACGTAAATATTTTGAGGGTAGTTTGACAGCACGTTCACTTAGCAAAACAACAGTGGTAGGTTCCCATTAGGGCCCATGATTTCCTGAACTATGAGCTTTTGACTAGGTTTACACATGAATTGCCTCCCGCAGAGCAGGTGTCACATCCCTGAGAGTAGTTGGTTACCTCTTGTTACGCTCATGCCACTGTTGCACTAGTGGGTACATCTTGCCTAGAAATAGTTGTGATCCATAGTTGGTGGAACCAGAGAATATAGGTCTCATGGGTCCCCTGGGCTCATTGTAGTTAAGATTTGTATTTAAGATTGTATGCCTGAATGACTCACACAGGATCTCTCAATCATGAAGTTGTGTACTTGGATTCAGTCTTTCTCTGTGGTGGGCCCCATCCTGGGCCTTGTAGGGTGCTGACCAGAATCCTTAGTCCCCAGCTGCTCAGTTCCAGTAGTACCTCTTAATCCAGAAATGCTTCCAGAAACTTAGAGATGTTTCCATGAACATGAACTTTGAACATGCCTGCTGTGGAGCTTTTTTGTATTTTTCCATCTTTGTCTTTTTCCCTCAAATTCTTTATCAGTTTTCTCCCCTGCTCACCCATCTCCCAAATTAGGTGGAATTTTCCATTTCCAGAGCACATTAAACTCTAGAAAGTCTGTGTTGGGACTGAACACAGTTCTGATGTGTTTATTCTTTGTCACTGGTACTTTCCATAAGTAGCTTTGTTTCCAGAACCTTGTTTCTTTCTTTATAATATCTCCTGCAATAACTGAGTCTAAAATGCTGGGCTGGAGAGATGATTTAATCAGTAAAGTACTTGCTGTGTTTTGCCATAAGTATCTGAGTTCCATCCTTAGAACACATGTTAAAGAGCCAGGTCTGGTGGCATTTGCTAGTAATCCCATAGTTAAGAAGGTATCCCATAGCAAAGGATCACTGGGGCTCCATTGGCTAGCCTTCTCAGCCAACTTTTCACATTCCAGACCAGTGAGTCTCTGTCTCAGAAGGTGGGCAGCATGTGAGGAATGCCCTTTGGCCTGCATGGACACACACACACACACACACACACATACACACACACACACACAGAGAGAGAGAGAGAGAGAGAGAGAGAGAGAGAGAGAGAGAGATGTGCATGTGAACACATACACATTACACACACACTATAAAATGACACTGGACTTGGGGAAATGGCTGATTTGCTTAATGCTAAGTGTAGTCATACTTGACATTCATGGGGACAGCAGCAGGTGAAGCCATTTCTTCTCAGTTTTCCTGGAGTCCCTGCACTTCAGGAAAAGTATAGTTTTTGTTTTTTTCTTCACACTGACCAGTGAAGGGCAGGATTAGTATTAGTCTCTTTTTTTGTTACTACAATGAAATACCCAAGACTGGACACATTATGAAGAAGAAAAAAGATTGTTTTAGTTCGGCTTCGGATCTGGGCAGCTCTGGTGATTTATCCAAGGTGATGCCATCAGAGCGGGAGGGCTATCATATTATGAGACAGGAGCCTGCATAGACTAAGTTCGAGCATAATGATCTTCTGCTGTTGCTCTTCCTTTGCACCTCTCTTACCTCTTATTACCACTCCAAGGACCAAATCTCCAGTAGGTGAACCTTGGGAAACAGAGTCACGCCACATCCCAAACCTAACAGTGCTCTTTCTTGGCGGGAGTACTGCCTCAAGGGTGTCAGAGTCAAATGGTCCCTCGGTTGAAATTCTGTCCTCAAAGTGATGAATTTTGTTTTCACAGAAAACCCTCTTCAGGCAATGGTGCCGAGGACACTAGGTATGACTCAGCTGTGGGACATCCACATAGCCCTTGTGGCTGTTCAGTCAGTGTGTGTGTGGGGGGTGCTAAGTCAAAATCAGAGATTTCTGGGGCAGCTTTTGAGACTGGATGCTTCCCAAATTCTCCAATTAAATACTTCATTGGGAAATGGAATCTGGGCATGAATGCTGGGAAAATTTTTAATTAACACCTCTTCCTAAAATATGCAATCAATGGTGCACTTCCCGAGTCCTTCCCCTGAAGGTCATTTTCCCTCCATGCACTAAAGTAGCTGGGTGTGTACACAAAACCACGCCCAAGGCTTGATGTTCGGCTTCAGGTGGTAGGGAATTCTAGTTATTAAATCAATCTTGTCATTCCTAATGAGCATTTCTCTGGGTCTCTAGACAATGCAGTGTGACCAAAAGGTGTCTGGCTGATCAAAGGAATGCAGTGTTGCTGAATTTCAGCAGGAGACTGAGGAGCCATTTCTCTTCAGTCTTAGGGAGGCAAATGCAGGCAGACAGGGGGACAAGACATTGTTAGAGTCAGGGAGGGGCTGCTTTGAAGGATTTCATAAATTTTACTTTTTCAACTCACTGAATCCAATCAGTGCTACCCATTTGTGAACAGGTGTGGGGCTTCTCTTTGATGTATGTGTATATGCAACCTGGCACTGGTCACAACCCCGAAGAAGAGTGTCTCTTCCCCAGGAGCCCTCAGCTGCTAATAACTCCTCACATGGGGGTGCTCCTCTCCCCGGTGTTGGAATTTTAACTGGCTTGGTCTTGTGCATATCTAGTGTAACTAGCTACAGCTGCTGTGGGTTGTCATGC